AGGGGAGGGGAGAAAGAATAGAGTAGAGTAGAGTAGAATAGAATAAGGGAAGGGAAGAGATAGAATAGAATAGAATAGAATAGAATAGAATAGAATAGAATAGAATAGAATAGAATAGAATAGAATAGAATAGAATAGAGGAAGGGAAGGAAGGGAAGGGAAGGGAAAGAATAGAATAGAATATTGGATAATATAAAATAGAGTAGAAGAGAAGATTGGATAGAATAGAACAGAATAGAATAGAATAACTTTATTATCATTTTGAACATACACTAATTGACATATATATAGAACAAGGAAGAATAGAATAGAATAGACTTTATTGTCCCTCTGAATGTCCACTAATCGACATACATTAAAAATGAAATTCCATTTTACAGAGCTCTTCCAGGGTCACCCTCTCCAACATGATGCCAGAATTGGTTGCCCCGACAGGCTTTTCTCCTGCTGCTCCTTTCTTTCTCCTCTGAGCTTTTCGCCTTGCCAGAGACTCATCCCCTCCTCCCTCTGTTTCTCTCAGCTCCTCCATATCGACGTGGACGGCTGCATGAAGGTGATTCAGAGAAGGAAATCCCGGCAGCCGGAGCTGCTGAAGGCCATCGCGCTGCCTGGGGGCGACAGCAAGCAGGTCTGGTCTCCTGTGGGTCTCTTTTTTAAGACCAAGTTCACTGTCCACGGAGAAGCCCTGGAGAGCTGGAATCTCGGCTCACCGTCGGCTTCTTTGGCAGCAGCAGGGGGGCTTGGGGGCTTTTCCTCTTGGCAAAGGAGAAGAGGCGTCTGGCCAGCGAGGTGGGGAAAGGGGTTGCTCCAGGGCTCGGGGGCGGGGCTGCAAATTTTTGAACCAAATTTTTGAACCACTGGCTGGGTAGGCGTGGCCGGTTGGTCATGTGACTGAGTGGGTGATGTCACTCATCACACCCACCTCTCAGCCACTTGCCTCAAAGGAACAGGTAGGATTCAGGCGGGTTGGGACGAATCCCATCTCTGGCTGGCCCTACCCCCGCCTAGTTTTGGGCCATTTTCAGGCCGTTTTCGGGCCATTATCAGGGCATTTTTCAGACCGTTTTAAGACGGATTCTGGCTGGAAAAATGGTCCCAAAAATGGCCTGAAAAAAGCCCCCCAAAAAAGGCTATTTTTCAGGCTCTTTTCTGGCTGTTTTTCCAGGCCATTTTCAGGTTGTTTTTTGGGCTGTTTTCAGGCCGTTTTCTGCCCAAAAAACAGCCAAAAATGCCCCCAAAAACAGGCAGGGCCAGAGCCAGCTAGTGTTCTGATTTGCTGGTTCTCCAAACCGCACAGAATCAGAACAAGGCATTTGGGAAAACCTGTCTGAACCTGCAGCAACCCACCTCTGCTGCAGGTCCCTTCGATTAAAGAATGCCATCTGTTAGGGCCTGGAAAGTGCCCACGGTTCAGTCTCGGGGCCTGCCCTCTGCAGGTCCATACAGTTCCCATGAGGAAAACTTCCCAAAACTGTGAAAAAACTGGGTTTGTTTCTCTAAATCCAATTTAAGGAGTTAATTCAAGCTGAGCTTTTGGTCCTGCAGGCTGGTGTAAGGAAGGAAAGGGAGGGGAGGGGAAAGGAGGGGAGGGGAAGGAAGG